GTATCTTAATAATAAGTACTCTAAGAAGGTAAGAACATCTTTTGTGTATAAATGGCATATGATGGACTGGCTCTTGAACATGTATGGCAGGAATATCTGAGATGATCATTAGCATTTTTTTTATCATTATTTTAGATTTTTAAACTGTGGCAGGAAATGTACCCAGACCTTGTCTGCTTAAAGTTAACTAAAATTTGCATAAATGCATAATAACTAACAAAGTCCAGCAAAACAAAGCCAATAAATTGGCCTCTTTTAGTCATCAGAACTAAAACTGAATGTCAAACACACTGCTGTGTTGCATGAAAACGTCCTTCCACTTGACTACTGTAAATTCCTGTTGTGAAGGCCTTCCCAAAAGCAATTCTTGGTGAAGTATTTTCGGCATGGCATAGCTCTGCTGTGTCATTAAAAAACCTCTGTGTCTGTACTTAGATCTTTTGATTGTAGAGCAGCTTGGCTTGGGTGGGGTGGTTCTGTTCTGTGGCCGACGGTCCAGAAACATGACATTTCAGCCTTAGATTACAGTTCTCATTTAGCCTGTGCCAATGGGCTGAGAAACACACCTTAAATCCTTAAACTGTGTGGTCTGCACAAAAGACATGAATGTTGTGGCTTTAGTGTGAAACTATGTGGTACTAAATACTTCACTGAATGTTTTATTTTATTTTTATATATATATATATATATATAAAGAAGGCATTATTCAATGATTTACCGCTGCCGTCTAGTGAGCCTGTTTAGCAGAAATCAAGGTTGTGTTTCTCAGTGAACTCTTTTGTTAAGATACAGATGCAGAATATTATCTTGAGTATCATCCAGTAGAAATCAGTTGAATCAGAGGTGAAATCTCTTGAATGTCTCAATTGTTTTCCATCAAAAGCAATGAGATTAAATGGAGAGCAAATGCTTTTCTCGGATGCTTCTCAGATTCTTCTCTTCATATAAAGATCTTCATCTGTTTCCTCTAGAGCATGGTGTCAAACTCAATTCGTGGAGGGCCGGAGCCCTGCAGAGTTTTGTTCCAACCCTGCTTCAACACACAAACCATGTAGTTTTCAAATAAGCCTGAAGGACTTGATTAGTTGGATCAGGAATGTTTAATTAGGGTTGAATCTAAACTCTGCAGGGCTGCGGGCCTCCAGGGATTGAGTTTGACACCCCTGCTTTAGAGCAGGCATATTCTAATGGCTTGGTTGCAACCGGACTGCGAGACTTAATGACAACGGCAGCACCATTTTACCATTTCTAAATAAAGTGAGCAGCGCTTCAAAACAACCCAAGTAGGGATAACTGCAGGCTGGAGCAGTGGGCGTAGCGAAAGATTAGGGCGTGCCAAAAGGTAGGGGGCATGGATAAAGGTCTTTCTAATTGGTTAGGGTTAGTTTCTGTTGTAGCATTCACCTTTTGGCTCTCCACCTTTTGCCACGCCCATTACTCCGACCTGCAGCTACCTCTGTCGCAAACAACGGAGCAGTTCATGAATGAGCTGCCCCCATTTCCTCTTCCTGCATGTAAGAGGAAATGGGACGTGTGGATGGGCAATAACGTAGCAGAGGGCTGTACGAATGGGATATTTAATGTTGAGTATTACGGAGCAGCTATGACTCATGTGCTTGCGTAAATACTGACCAAGGTTAATATAGTTTTGAATTTTTAAATTAGTTTTATTTTAACATCGTTTTCAAATTTGTATATATATATATATATATATAAAGAAGGCATTATTCAATGATTTACCTTTGAAATTTTATGCTACACTGTTGTCACATGATCTTGTCATGCTGCATGTGAATGCCATCTAGTTATCATCGAAATGATCTTTCAATTATTAAATTATCTTTTTATCAGTAAAAAAAAAATATTACTGCTGTAATTAATTTCAGTTCAGTTCTCACACTGGAAAAGGAAAGTCAAATTGCATTCTACACCATTCAAATTAAGTTTGAGGTAAGAAAGATTAATAATAATAATTAAAAAAAAAATTTTTACTTTTATTCAGCAGTTTGCAAGTTGTAATAATATTTCACAATATAACAGTTTTTACTGTATTTTGGGATACAGTACAAATAAATGGTGATCATAAGAGATTCAAAAACATTAAAAAGTCTTAATAATTCCAAACTTTTGACTAGTAATGTGTATATACTGCAAAAATAATAAGAATATTATGTTAGTATGCTTATGAACATAGGCATTGTGTGCGAGTAATGTCTAAGAAAAACAAAATTCTCAATGTATCTTTGTCTAAACAGATGAGATTTTTTGAAATAAGAAACTGTGAAAAGTTAGTTCATCAGGAAGGAATGGCTATGCACTAGACATTAATCTAGTCCAACTGCTGTGAAGGTCGACAGCTCTGGCTATGCTCATGCTCTGCCCTTGACGACCCATGTTGTTCAGGTCCTGTGGTCAGGTCTGTCCCCCTGCAGGTCTAATCACGCAATTACTTGAGATTTCTGAGCTATGGCAGTAGCCTACATGAAATAAACATTGCCACGTTGCCTCATGTAATTGTGCATTGCACACATTTCCTCATATCATGATGACCATTACGTGGGCAAGACTGTGAACTTCACATTTGTATTGCGTGCAAGCCACCTTCCTAGAAAGGTGAACTTGAATTTGTACAATTTATCATGGTTTCATCATGTTTTCAATACCTGTTGTTAGTTTCGTTTCGTTTTAGTTTTTCAAATATTTTGACGTTTTTATTTTATTTCAGTTTACGAAATTGTTTTTTCATCAATCGTTTTAGTCGTAGTTTTAGTTTTCGTTTGCGAAAATAACCTTGATACCGACGTTCTCCCGAGTGCTTGCAATGCCACAAGAAATAAACACACATTGTGTATGTGTGTTTATGCAGTCATGCAACACAAGGAAAAGAAGTGCACAAGGAAACACCAGGAAATGAAGAAACTGATACATATTCATTAAATCATACGTACTTTACACAGAGGATGCATCTTACATTCTGTCTTGGCTATTTTCTAGCAGTTTTTATGAGTTAGATCGACATCTTTAGATTGTTACAATTTTTTGTTTTTATTATGAATTCAATGAGGACGTTATGACATTAGAAAATGTTCTTTTGTGAATGGCCCCTTAGTGTGGTATAGTAAGAAAAACGCAAGGCTCAAACTTCATTTAAAACAAAGACGTATTTTTCGTGGATTAAACAAACAGAGTCGACAGAAGCTTATGGCCTGAAACAGGATGTGACCTCATGGTCTTTGAAGCCCTGCCATTGCTCCTGTGAAGAGAGGGGTGTTGAGTGAGACAGACCTGATGGCCGATTGTACACATGGTTCTCTGTTCCTCACACACACTTGAAAAATGATTTTGTGGTGAAGAAAATATAGCAGAAAGCACTTTCACTGAATAGGTTACTTGTCAAGCAAATGCTAGGGTTAGTCTCTTTTTTTGTTTAGGCCACACATGTGCACATATACTACACAGACAGACAAAATGCAGAAAATCAGCTTCACAAGGAATCTTTTCCATGAAGATAGGATGATGGATATGATTTTTGCAGGCAACATTATATAGATGTGAAGGTAAAGCTGTACATTAAAACAGATCACAACACACAAGAATGACACCATGCATTATAATCAGAAACGTTTCTTGCACCATAAACAGCCGTAATATAGCACTTATGCACTTATTTTGACCATTTCCACCCTCTAAACGTCATTTTTGCTAATATACCTTTAAGACTTGCATATATAGCCAGTCAAAATCCAAAAATAACATGCACTGTATTTTTGTGGGAGTGTGTGTGTGTGTGTGTGTGTGTGAGTGAGAGCTGATGTTTGATTCACAAATGAATCATTGTTTGGTAACGGTTATGCATTCGAATATCACACGACTTGAAAGAACATTGACAAAATGTATCTCGTTTGGAAACGTTTCTCTCGTTTGAATAGTGATAAAAGTTATTACATAGCTACAATAGGCTACTTCTGATTGATCAGTTGCTCCATTCACCAGATGTTTTTTGTATAATGAGCAGAAAAGCAGTTCTAACATGCATGCACTTCTAACTTTTGAGCGCTGATCGATTCTATGGACCTTTTCACGGAAATGAACCGACTCTCACAACTTAGAACGCAAAAGAAACCGGGATGATTCACCAACGGATCTTTTTAAACGAATCTTTCAGTGAATCGCTTGAACGGTTTGTATTTATTGCAGCAGCAACAACAACAACTATAATAACAACATGCTGCTGCATCCTACTGGAATTTCTGTGGTAACTTTTGAGCAATGAGCGATTCTATGAATGAAACGGTACAATGAAACGAACCGATTCGCATATGAATCTGACTCTTAGCGTTAGAACGCGAGAGAAATGTATGATTCACAAACGAATCATTTTGTTCAAAATAATCTTTTAATAAATTGCTTGAATTGCTCGTGTTTATTGAACTACTGTAAACAACAAAAATTCTTTCAGTGAATCGCTTGAACGGTTTGTATTTATTGCAGCAGCAACAACAACAACTATAATAACAACATGCTGCTGCATCCTACTGGAATTTCTGTGGTAACTTTTGAGCAATGAGCGATTCTATGAATGAAACGGTACAATGAAACGAACCGATTCGCATATGAATCTGACTCAGCGTTAGAACGCGAGAGAAATGTATGATTCACAAACGAATCATTTTGTTCAAAATAATCTTTTAATAAAATGCTTGAATTGCTCGTGTTTATTGAACTACTGTAAACAACAAAAACAATAATTACACGCCGCGAGGGAACCTCTGTGATAACTTTTGAGCGATGACCGATTCTATGGATCTGTTCATTGAACGAGCCGACTCGCTAAAATGAACCGGACTTCTCAGCGGTGAGAGAGAGAGAGAGAGATGTTCTCTAATCAGTGACTGAGGGGAGGCGGGCCAAGAAAGCTCAGTGTAATGCGATAGCTGCGCCGCTCAGAAATGCTATTACACACATACTGACTCACTCACTCACTCACTCACGCACGCACATACACTCGCGCTCTCCGGCACATCCACACGCGCTGCCACAGCTCAGCGCGAGCACAGCAGTGCGCTTCAACACGCTTCTGTGCGCAACACCAATTCCACTCCTGTCCGGCAGTTTGGACAAAACTTGGTGCCTCCCGAGTATGACTGAATGACTTACTAGAGCAAGAAGATAGCAGAACATTTAAACTCGGAGGGCAGTGTGTTTTAAGCGGACGATTAAGGGAGAGATCCCTGCGGAAACCCATAGGCTATCAAACCATCGGAGACCGATCAGGCAATGGAGCGCAATAACGCACGCAAATCCGTGACGGCGTTATAACGGAATAAAGTTGAAGACCTCTAATTTAGTCTTATTTGAGGAAAAACAGGCTGTTTCACGACAAAGCATGACTTTATGAATAGCCTACATGAAATAGATAATGTCATGCACAGTTTGCATTTGCTGTGCGCAATTGGCTCAACAGAACTGCCCTTGAATATGAAATTCTAAGCACTACAAAGACAAAAAGGCGTATTTTCTTTTCTTTTCTCAGTCTGTGTTAACGCCGTTTGTTCTTTGAAGAAGATCACTAGTTGAACACAGGTCACTTCTTCAAGGCAGCGCATGTTTGGAAAGATGGATTTCTGGATATCTCACCATGGAATTGCATTTATTTTTTGCTTCGTTCTGAAAGTCAGCGCAAAAGAAAGTAAGTTTGTCTGTTTTTCCTCTTTAACTTTCATAACGGTATATATGTGTCTAAATTCCCATCTAGTGAGGCTATCCGCAAATGGCAAACAGATTTCTCTCCTGGCGAAGCGACGTGTGTTTCTGCTGTCCAGGCAAACCATGCTGAGAAAAGAAGAGCTTCTGGTTTTATTTAGTGGAGAAAAGGAGCAGATTTATATTTAATAAGGCGCAGCCACACAAATAAATGGGAAACACTTTCTTTGAGCGTTGTTAGTGTTTGCTGAGACATATCTTTTTAGATCATTTCTGGACAACTTTTCCAGGACAACCTGGGCTGTAATGTAGTTCATATGTAGGCTAATAATAAAAAGTAACCAACTTTCACAATAAATAAATAAATAAAGATTCCGATTACAACCACACAGGCTTTTCGAGCTTGATGTCACCTAACTTTTAAAAAAGTTCCTTCAAATCATAATGTAGATGTAAATACCCATAATGTAAACACCAATAACCTTCTCTATAAAGAACCACGTAGACAAAGCAAAGGGGTCTTTATTTAAATAATACAGAGAACCATTTTTAAGAAAGAACAGCAAAAAATCCGAACGTGAAATCAAGCCATATTCACTGTAACCTTCCCAGGAAATACCACGACTTCGCGTTACGAGAACATGATTTGGGGATCTAAACCACGTAGGATCATCTGAATTAACCGTTATGTGAAGTTTCTTGCGCTTCTGTCGATATCATGGCAGAATGATATGGTAGCTATAGGAAGAAGATACGTATAGCAGCCTATAGTATGCAAATGAATTATTAGGATATGCATGTATGATATTTGTTGAATTACGTGGTAGCCTACTTTAAAATATAGGCTACTATAGGTTTACACCAGAAGAACATCCGCGGATGAAATTTATTGACAGCCATGCAGGCATTTCTTTAAAAAAATCGATCAAGGGGTCTTTATATATTTGGTCCCTCACCGTTCAATAGTAAACAGCAGTTGACCACGTTTTGAAACGTGCTTGTTCTCGGTCATTGTTGGGCTTTCACGGGAAAACGGAGTCACGGCGCGAGCGGACTTCAGAGCGCGCGACTTTCAGCCCGCCTCTTCACGCGTACAAAACACGTAAGTATATGTACGTTTTTGTTAATTGATACGTGTTTCGTCCATTTCCGGAATAGCAAAACAATGCTTCATTAGAAGCTGTCAAATAATCAGAAGTGATAAGGCTGTAACAACACAATGGCGTCCAAATTTTCACGAGAGATTGTTTTCACAGATATCGTCAACAATAGGCTACATCGTTAACTTTAACGGGAACAGCTATTACGGGAAAATAAGCATGTGTGTAATAGGTCTTCATAGTTACGGAGTTATTGTGATAATATACATCTTAATGATGTTGTTTTGTGCAATTTATAGTCATATCTATGCCTAGCCCTCTCAAAGAATATTTATTTACAGTGCAGCAGCACCTGCAGTTTTAGGCCAACAGGTTGAGAAAAAATGATGAAGCAGCTACAATTAGTGGTGAAAGGTCTTCAAATAATTGAAAGTTGCAGCTGCGAATGAATGAACCCTACTTGCTTATGGATGACATTGTGGCTTGACTTAGGCTCTCTGCCATTGTTGCGTTATTGCTCTTGACATAGGCTACAAACTTTCATCCCTGGAGCAGCTGGTTTATGGGTGCGGTGGCATTGCAGATTATATTTCTGCAGAGGAATAACCACTTTAAAGTGGCTAAACTGAAGCAGCTTTAGAAATAGGGCTCAATAATGGCAACAGTTTGAAGTGCAGAGTTCAGCAGATGAATAGGCATTTTACACTGTTGTTTATTTTCTGTGATTATTAGCAACGTCTGCAATTACTGTTTGATAATTGTTTTCGTATTTACTCGTGGGGGTAATTTATGTAAACAGTTTTGATTTGTGAGCCCATATCTTGTTGCAGACAATTATGCCATTATTTTTAGTTTGGGTGTTGAAAAACCCATTTGGACCGCAACCTGAAACTGCACACATGCAGTCCTCTCAAAGGTACTTCTGTAACGCCCCTTTTCCCAGCGTGGCATCAACTGCAAAAAGCGCAACACAATGTGCTGAATTATGGACAACAAAGACACAGCATCTCTTGTGTGAGATCCATGCCTTTAGGGGCCCTTCTCAGTTTTTTGTTTTGTCCTGGCCAAAAAGTGACATGTTGACCCACATAGAATGATATCAGACTGTCCATGTGTTAACAGTGTCTTAGCAGTGGCACGTTTTCTTTTATTCTCAAAAACACTATTTTCACCTGCCTCTCTATTTGTGCCTCCTACTCAAACCTCTTATTCACATCTTGTCAAACACTGCCCTCAAATCTGGAACCTTCTCAGCGAGTCCTTCCAGGGTGTTTTCTCCTGTTTAAAAGTTTAAGATCAATGCATTGATGCATTTTAACCTGTTTGCAATTATGTTATTTCTGTGTATTTTATGTTTAAGGAACCTTTAAGTTATTTAGAGGCTGAAATCTAATATATTTACCTTAGTTTTGGGAAAACAAAGTGACAGAATGCATATTAAGCTGCATTTTTACTCTTTTTGAGTGTTTTTTGCACATGCAAAACACTGCCATTAATGCTAGGGTGTAATGGGTGATTGCCAAGGTGTTGCTATGAGGTTTCAGAGGTGTTCTGGGTGGTTTATAGTGTTGCTGATGTTTTTGGTGGTTACTTAGTGGAAAAGAGCCCACCTTCAAGTCTTTGTGATATTCTGGTCCTTCTATGGGATGTTTTTGCCCATTGTATCGTCTGATTGCTTAGAAAAATTATAGAATTAATCTTTAAGCTGCACAGTTTAAGTTATTGTTCATGTCTGTTGTACAAAAAGTACAAGTTTAGCTAAAATTGGTTCAAATCACTAGTATGAACATTAGTAATAGTGATGTTCGTTTATGTTGGCAGCTTTCCTTTAGGACAGCTTTTGTGTGTGTCCACTGTTTAGCTTGACAAACCTGATTAAAGGATAGATACATACATACTTTATGTGAATAAACAAAGCACTTAGTTCTCCCCAGGATTCCTTCAAATAGACAGAAAGACGCACACCCATCTACTCACACATACACACATCTTCTTTTCATCTACAGCACCCCGAGTGGTTGTGTATGCTGTTTCATCCTATTTTTCTGGGTTTCATGAATAGGAGAAGTACTAATCTATGCAGAAGCTAGCAGTTTCAGCTCCGAAAAGAAGGTCAGAAATTTGCATTTGGGGCCAGGAAACCACGACCGGATCAATCCCTGCGGAGGCAGTGGGTGCTGAGAACTCCCTGGATTGATGGGAATTGAGGAGGAATTAAAAATATAGCATAAATAATTGAAACAGCCCCTTCTATAGTTAGTGTCATTTTGAGCTTTTAGTGGAGCATGAGTGTGGGTGTGAGAGAAAAGACAGACAACGTGACACATCGATGTTTGTAAATCAGGGCACCGCAGAAGTTTCGGTGAGTGATAACTGTAAAATTCATGATGCACGATCAGATGTACACTGGGAATTGGTGAATGAAGTGCAATATAAAATCTCTAAAATCTGATTAGTTTAGAAGTCTATGTGAAATAGCTGATGCATGGACACATGTGACCGTACAGCATTTGAATTCAATGATAATTTAGCAATCATCAGTTCATTGTTTCTTGGAAACAGCCAAGTTGGTTGAATTAACTATTGTTTATTGTGTTTATTATTAATTCATGTAATTATTAATATTGACGTTTATACCAGTTAGTTTTGATCCACTTGCTCATCTTGGTTTATTGTTCATAATGCTTTAACAGTGCTGTTTGTGAAGCTTGGTAGTTCTTCTAAAGAACATAAAAGGTTTAGAGCAATGTAGAGAACGTGGAACCTGTTCCAAAAAGTGAAATCAAGCCACGAAAATGAAAAATGTAATGTTCTTTAGAGGAATAGTTGACCCAAAAATGAAAGTTCTGTTATTATTTACAACCGATATGGAAAAAGTAGACCATAATAGTATAATGAAAGTGGTCAATAGGATTTATTAGTTGCTTATTGTGATTTCTATTAATACATGCAATTTTTAATTGAATATTTATGTTTTGTATTGCTGTTTATACCATTTAGTTCTGGTCCAATTGCTTGTCTTGTGGTTTATGATGCTCTAACAGTTTTGTTTGTGAAGCTTGTAGATCTTCTCTAAAGAAAAAAAAAGGTTTAAAGCGATAAAAGACGTGGAACCTGTTCCAAAAAGTAAAACCAAGAAGTTTCAGCCATGAAAATGAAAAATTCAATGTTCTTTAAAGGGATAGTTCACCCAAAAAAGAAAATTCTGTCATTATTTACTGACCCTCATGTCTTTATATACCTATATGGAAAAAGCAGACCATAAAATATCATGAAAGTGGTCAATATGACTTATGTGCTATATTTCATGTCTTATAACGCCCTGTGAAAGCTTTGTGAGAGGAATAAAATGAAATGCAATATGTATTGGACTCTTTTGGTGAGTGCTTAGATGGTAGTGAGATTCGTGAGAAATGAGAGAGTGAGCGAGAAAGCTTTGGTAAGGATGAATGGATCAGTGCTGATTTCCTCACCGCGGGTGACAGCACTTTTTAATTAAGGTGCATATGGAAGGATGGAGAGAGAAAAAGAACGTGTGAGAGAGATGGAGATATATCATGGCCTCTCTACATGGATGCAACTTATCACCACGGTGACAGCTCAGCACAGCGATGATTCCATTAATAGAAATTAATACCAGCAGAGAGGAACACAAAACATCTGGGTGCACACACAGAGCGATTTGTATTTAGCTGTACATTTTTGATCCCTTTTTGTTTTTTTTGGCATTTTAGTCTTTTAAAAGCATCAACTAGAACCTCATGTGATTTAAGGATTCGACTAAAAACTGAAAATGATTATCATTATTTCTTGTCCTTTAATGTTATTCTAAACATGTTTGACTTTCAGACTGAAATATGAGTCATTATTTACTTGGTAATCTCCAGTGATCTCTTCTAACCAGTGTTGGGCTAGTTACTCAAAGAATGTAATATATTACTCATTACTAGTTACTCCTTTCAAAAGTAATATTGTTACTTTACTTATTACTTTATGGCAACAGTAATTAGTTACACTACTAGTTACAATACTTTTTCTTCACGCCCGACAGAAGTTGTACTGTAACTGTGTATCCACATAAAATTATTCTAGAATGTTACTAACAATATATTTCTGCCTCATCATTTGACCAAAATCCACATTGGATCGCAGTCAGAAGTTATTGCAAACACTCAATAGTGATTGATAGTGACATTCAAGTAGAAGTGTTGTATTAATCTCATTAATTCTCATGTGTACCTTGAAGCTAATTGTGATTTCTCGGTTACCCATATACGATTATATTTCATTAAGTTTGTAAGAAACTTTAATTTTCCAAAAATATTTTTAATTATAGTAATATAATGTACCACATGCTGATCAGAGGAGTGTGGGTGGGCTGTAATAGTAAAGTAAAGCCACAACTTACACAACAGTGTTCAGATCATCTTTTTTTCCTGACAAAATCAATGTAATGCAATATTTCTATCTGCTGAATGTAAGCTTTTCCATATTCCAAGCTTTCCTGATGCACTGGTGACTTCATGTGCCTGTGCGAGTCATGAAAATTATGAAAATAAATCTAGGAATTATTTGATTGTTGGATTTTAAATCAGCGGGGTTGAGGCATCAGAAGTAACTAAGTAACTAAACAGTTTTTTGGATGGTAACTGTAATATTATTACTGAAATCTTATTAGTAATTAGTTACACTACTAGTTACTGCAAAAAGTAATATTATTACAGTAACTAGTTACTGCCCAACACGGTCTCTAACCACTGCAACCGGGTCTTTGAGTCAACCTGAGAAGTGAACCGGTCAGATCTGTGAACAGTTTTTTTTAGACTGGCTTTGTAAACTGGATTAATTGAAAAGATCTGACTCAAAAGAATGATTTGTTTGCAAATCGGACATGGCTACTACTCTCATGAACATACCAAGAAGAGTCAGGGATGTCAAGTTTGAACTGGTGATGTGCACTATGAACAAAGTATTCACTCAGGTATCAGATCTTTTAAATAAATCAATGATTCGTTCACAAAACTGGTTTAAATGATTTGTTTACACAGATTCACTGAACCAGTGATCCAGTCAGAGTGGTTAACAGCTCAATGACTTTCAGCCTGTTCCTCACAAAAAAGCTGGTGCACATACGGACCATGTTTATAGTGCTTTTATAGAGGTTTTCGGCCATGTTTGTCATCACTCCCATTTCAACATCTGCTTTTGTGAAAAAAAAAGGAGAGGATTTGAAAATACTTTTTTTTTTTTTTTTTAGTTTTAAATGAACAAGACTTTTAAAGTTACAAAAACCTTATTTTTATTCTTCGTTCATTCCAGCAGCCAGGTCTGATATCTCTTCTTGAGGCTGTCTGTAGCCCCTCTCCCCTTCTGTCTCTCTACATGAAAGGACAGATCTGTCTAAAAAAGTGCAGAGCACACAAAATCCCACCTCATGGATTTATCCTCAAGACCCACTTCCCTGAAAACCCACAACAGAGCGATAGACACAGCCAGAGAATACATGCAGACAGAATGCAAATGCTAAAACGATTGCTATCTGTTTGTCCTTTTGCGTTCCTGTAATATATTGGGTAATAATACTGAGATGAGGTGAGGAATTCATGGAAGGAGGGCTGCAAGGGAACTGTCAAGTCATCTTCAGCACAAAATAAGAGAAGAAAATAAGAAAGAAGACAATGAGGCCTATTTTTAGGACCTTTCCACTGTGACATTTTTCCACTGTGATTTATAGTATAACCACATCCCCCTAATTCTCAATAATGTAAAATAAAAAATGAATAATAAGAGTGTTATTTAAATGGTGAAGCATTTAACATAATAGCATTTGCTTTACTGCCTTTATGCTGATTTAAATGGAAAAATCATTGTATCAGTTTTTTCCACCGTAATTGTCTTTAGGAACAAGTTTTTTTTATTCAACTTCACAAGGATAAAAGTGCCCCTAGTTGAAGAAACGCCCATATACTGTATATATAATATGTATATGTATATATATATATATATATATATATATATATGTATGTGTGTGTGTGTGTGTGTGTGTGTGTGTGTGTCTTGAGTGTGTTTGTGTGTGCACTTACATTTTACTAGCTAGATTTTCCCCATCAGAGGATGTAGCTGAAAAGGGTTAGCAGGATTCGGTTGTTGCCTTAAATGCCAACTCATTTGAAGTGTACCTTTGAAAAAGACATAATAGCAGTGGAAACGTCAACACTTGAAAGAAGCCCCAACCATCCTTTTACGTTTTATTCAGGCTCTTGTGACTGGCACGTATGGGAGTCTTGGATTCAGGCGACACTCAACTCATTGTCTCAAGATTTTCCACCACACCAATGCATAGTGCTGAAGATCTTTAACATGGTTTTAGTGTGCCCTGCAGCTCGCTTTTGAAGGGCAATTTAACAAGTTTTCAGAAAATTCTTAGATATTGAGAGTTCTGGAGTTGTGCATTTGGGGTTTACGAGTCTCTTTTTTGTCTCATTTTTACCGTGTCTCATTTAATTCTCTCTGGCTGCATCACTATTTTTGTGTTGCTTTAATATTAGAGACTCCATCCATTCTCATCCGGGCTATGATCGTATAACTCGGGCAACGTTAGAAATGTGCCCACTGGCATAGATTCTGCTATATGCTAGGAGCTTTTAGCATATATGGGATAAGGTTGAAGTAGTCATGAACTTCTGTCAGAGACAGGAGGAATTTTCCGGTCGTGTTTATCTGTATTTGCAGAAGCCAACATCAGACCCAGAACTGTCAATCAAACCACCCTCTTCCTCTCTGAACCTGCACTATTCCCACTTTCCCTTTCTGATGTATGCTGTGATGTATCCTACTAAACATAAGCATGTTAGCTGGTTCCAGTCACCTTTTGTGGAGGTGTACATTTTTATCATACAGAAAATGTAATCTTCAGGCTTGTCTTCTCATAAGGTTGATGGCAATAATCATGGGTAACCATGTTCTGAATGTCCGAGTCATTCATTTTATGCAGTACCTTTTTAACTCTGTAACCTTTAAAAATGAATATGCTTCTATGCACAGGTCAAGCTCAGACACTTCAGCTTTATTCATTTTGCCTTATTTATTTGCACAAAATGAACAGGACTGAAATGAATAGCTAAAATTTGTCACTTCTAAATGACGTAGTGACGGTTAGCTTGCTTGAGGAAGTCAAAGCTTATTTTCATATATCTTTTTTAATACCTTTTTAAATGTTGATATTATCAGCCCAATTTCTGTGATTTTGTCAAACAGGATGAAATGTTTAAGAGTTGAATGTATGTTTTAAGCTGCTATGTTCTCACCACGAGTGATGTAACTTCCTAAGGGATGATGTCATTCAGGAACTGGCTTTTGTTAGTTAAGGGATTTTACAAAAGACTGATGGGTTATAAAGTGCATCAGGACATGGGAAAAGCCTATGAAATGATGACCAATTGAAACGGTATTTCCAAGAAACATGCTGAATATTATTTAATACATTGCTGGTTTTAAATTTTCGACGAGAACAACACACATGCCAATAATGGCATCATCAATTCAAACTTAAATAGTGAAATAATTTAAAATTAATATAATTGTGATGTTCTGATAAAAGAAAACAGATTTACTTGTTTTCCATTTATACAAATAGTGAGCTAAATATTCTATGAAGGTGATATGAAAATGTGCTGCATAGTAGGTATGACCCATCTGCTAATTCCTCAGTTGTCCTTTGGCTGGTATGTGGTTAAAAACCCCTCACTGTACGGTTGTCATGGTGAAAGGCCAGAAAGTATTTCTGTCTCCTAATCTTAGCTTCATTTAGAATAATAATGACCAGAGTGATATCCTCTATGTGTGAGGGTGGCATGAAAAAGGGCTGTTGCGCATGTTAGCATGAATGCTAGCATGGGGAAGGACTGTTTGGTGAAGATAACAGAGAAACTACTTTAGGTGAGGTGGTAGAAGAAAGGCTTTGTTATGCTGGATCCCATTGCAGTTTTGGGAATGACCTCTTGAACCTCCAGAGAAGAGACCTGCATGTCACTTCCTGTCTCAGGGTTGGCTATGGTAGACTATTATATCTTGTAGAGAGCATAAGAAATTTGTCGAAAGCTTCCAGACTTTTACAATAACATTGTGGGAAAGCTTAAAAGAACATAAGGTAATTGGAAATGTGGTTGTAATGTCATGAAATTGTCAAATTAATATTTATTTACTGTAGAAATACAATATCCTCATAGCAATGCCATTATAGAGATGTTATTTTAATTTTAAGTCAGCATTCCCAACAACATTTTGCCCAACCAGCTTCTACAGTATAATGTGATGTATTTTCAAGAGGCCTTGGTGACATCATCCAGTATCATCCAAAATGCACCAATTACTCGCAGGAACTTGTATTAATGAACACAATAGGGCTAATGTTGATTTAATGATGGTTTAACTTCATATAGCATTGTTTTTGTCCCTTGTGTGTTTTGACAAGATGATAAGTATTCCTGGTAGCCATGCAGTGCTTGCTCAGGGATTTGGTAGCGCTTGTGATTTATGTATTTAATTTGCCTTGAGTTTACGCCACTCTGCTTGGACAAATGAGCATTAAGTATGTGGCTAATAACTAACTTATTTAACACTCTACCTCACCTCACTTTCTTTCTATTTGTCTTTCTCCCATTTGTCTTAGTTGAGACATGCGGAGGCCAGCTGGATGCCAGTAACGCTGGTTACATCACATCTCCAGGATACCCCCTGGAATACCCGCCCCATCAGAGCTGCCAGTGGGTGATCAGCACACCTGAACCCTCGCAGCGCATCGTGCTAAACTTCAACCCCCACTTTGAGCTGGAACGACTGGATTGCAGGTGAGAAAAAAGTCTGGGATAAAGGAAATTGACTGGAAAAAAGGGGCAAAATTAAGCACTAGTCCTATGGAATGACGAACGATAAGGACGTGCGCGCAATTCATTTACCTCCAATGGAGCATTTGCAGACCCTGCCCTGTGTGTGGAATTGTTGATGAGGCGAAAGTGGAAGATAAGGGGAAAAGAGGGTGTGAAAGAGGTAGACGTTGAATGCGCTTAATTTATTGGATGAGAGAGAAAGATGTGAGTCAGGGGGAAGGGGAAAAGAGGATGTGTGAGAAAGAGATATAGTATGTGGTACTGAGGATTTGGAAGAAAAGAGGTGACCCGGAGAGGTGGAACTATTTGAAGAGAGGAATGACGTTGAGGGTGAAGTTAAGAGAGATATAATACGGTTTAAAGCAGCCTAAAGGGCTTACACAGGGATGCAATGCAGCTGTCACTGGGAAAGGGGGTCGTCTAGAAGGCTTTTTGTAGAACTGTTTCCCCTCAGCTGTAAAATTAATTATATTCATTCAGGCTCTCACTTTTCAGAGTCTGACTTACATTACAATGACCAGTAAATCGGTTCTACTAATGTCACTCTGTTTCTTTTACCTTATACATGAGGGATATGCAACTCCGGTCCTGGAGGGCTACTGTACTGAAGAGTTTAGCTCAATCCCTAATCAAACTTCGGCCCTCCAGCACCGAAGTTGCTCATCCTTGTCCAATATAGCTATGAGACTCATGGAGGGCTTTAGGTCAAATTCTAATTAAACACACAGCTAATCAAGATGTTCAAGACAAGAACCTTCCAGGAAAGTGTGTTGGGTAAGGTTGGAGTTAAACTCTACAGGACATTGGCCTTTCAGGAGCAGGATTAGACACCCTTGTCCTACAAGGTATTTGTTTAATACATTTTCTAATGTTTTATTGTTCTGTTCGTTAAGAAATTTTCAAAGTTAAGAGACATTGGGAGAAAGGGGAAGAGATAGAGAGAGAAGGATAGACACCAAAAATACACACCTCAGTGGCTGATCTGTTCTGCTGATACAGCTCAGGTTAATGCCCCCTCACTCCCCAAATGAACATTCTGGATTTGCTGTGTACAAATGTTCAATCTCTTTTCCTGCTTGGGTGGCTTAATCAGGTTGGACAGCTCCACTCTGGCTGTATTTGTTGTTCAGATTAGGTTTCCTAAATGAGAAAGAGTTTACAGAGGTTTTAGAGGTATTAGCTTGAAAGACATTCCCAATTGGGCTCCAAAAACAGGCGAAAGGTTGAGGCCTCTTAGTTCAGGAGGAAATGTTAAGGTGGTTGCTTGAGAGTGTGCAAATTAATAGTTAGTATTTATATTCGCTTGCATGGTTTACAGTAAAACAGAGGTGTCCAAGTCCTGCTCTTGGAGGACCACTTTCCTTCAGAGTTTAGCTTCAACACCTGCCTGGAAGGTTCCTGAAAGCATTGATTAGTTGGTTCAGGTGTGTTTAATTAGGGTCAGAGCTAAACTCTTTGGGCAGGTGGCCCTCTGTGAGCAGGAATGGACACCCCTGCAGTAAAACAACCAACTTATTTAGCCATTTCAGAATGGCCAGTTGGAAGTGACATGAGCGACAGAGACCATTGACGATACGACAACCGTACAACAGTACAGCTACTTGTCAGCCTTCAGCATTTTAATCGCTGTTAGTATGAATGTCCCTTTAGACCTTAGTTTGGTGTAATGACAATGAACAAGTGTGCTCAGGGATATCTTGGTTACTTGCAAGTGTCTGAAACAAAACTCTTGAACATATTTCAAAGATTCAATGCCAAGAACGTCCCAAACCTTGCAAAGTTAAGCATGTAGTTCTTTGGAAGTCTCATTGTAGTGATCTGGTTTCCTGACAAACTGATATAAACCTCTGCACCCTGCCAAAGCGGATATTGAGTAAAACCAGCCCATCAGATTAGAGTTTGCCATTTTGGGAAAGCTCTTGACTGTTTTTGTTTGCCAATATCTGAAACAATGTGCAAAAATTGTATCTTTAGGTGTTCAACAGCTTGTCACTGGGGCAATAATCTTAACAGGACAGTTTTGTACCTTATCTATGCCTAAAAGGTGAATATTAGAGTAGTACTACATTAGAGTAGTATAATATTAGAGTAGTATAATATGTACCCTTGAGGTACTACTATGAACCTTATAGGGGTAAATAAGGTACAAAGATGTCTGCCACAGTGAAAAACTGTTGTACCTCTAAAGGTAAAAATTTTGCCCATTTTTTCTGAGATGTAGATGTAGAGTCCATCTGAGGCTGATATTCAATATTAGTGTTGCTGTTTATATGCCATCAGTTCGGTAGTGGGCTGAAATAGAGCTGTAAGGGTCTCTGTAGTTGTGATTTGCAAGATTATGATAGCACAAAACACACGTTGTCAATGTACCATGCTCATTCTTAATCATTCTTACTCCGTCTCAGTCTGAATGAGTGGAAAAAAGTGGAAAGAAATGTGTGAGGAAAAATTTGAAGAGGTGTCAGATGCTTTATGGTACTGTGCTTCATAAACTGGCCTCTTTCTAATGGTCCACTTCAAGTGTTCATCTCCTCCATCTGTATTTTACTATATATACAGTGAGTCATCATCAGCACATTTAAGCGAGGTATGATTGAAAGGCCCTGGCTCTGTCTTTTAGACAGCAAACAATTACACACACTAGCAAGCACATTTAAATTCACCTTATGCTTATGAGTGCTGGCTCGGAGTCTCTGTTACTCGGAGGAGCTGCCTCGGTTTCGCTTAGCTTGCACAATTTACCCTAGACAAGGTCAAAGCAGCTTCTTGTGCCCTAAACCATACTAACTAAAGTGCTTCTAAAAAGCATCTTGTGGCTCACATGATGTAGTTAGGATAGGTGTGGTATCAATGACAGGGAATTTTTATCGGCAGGGAATTTTTATTCCAGAAGCGAAGCCAGATGGCTTTTACCTGGAGGGCTGTGAGCAGATTGATCTGAGATAGATGCAATAAAAATGGCAAAATGAAATATCTGGCCATATCTTTAATGTGATACTCTTCTTCTTTGAGATGAAAGAAAGAAAAAGGGTGGTGAGGTGAGAAGAAATCTCTCTCTTTTGCACTTTCTATCTATCTGTCTGTCTGTCTGTCCGTCTGTCCGTCCGTCTGTCCATCCGTCCGTCCATCCCTCTCTTCTATGAAGCAATATGGCTTTTACCTGGAGGGCTGTGAGCAGATTGATCTGAGATAGATGCAATAAAAATGGCAAAATGAAATATCTGGCCATATCTTTAATGTGATACTCTTCTTCTTTGAGATGAAAGAAAGAAAAAGGGTGGTGAGGTGAGAAGAAATCTCTCTCTTTTGCACTTTCTATCTATCTGTCTGTCTGTCCGTCCGTCTGTCCATCCGTCCGTCTGTCCCTCTCTTCTATGAAGCAATTTTTTTCAGTTCATTCCTTCAGGTCTCTACCCAGTTTGCCTCATTATCATTCTCCAAGTAGATCCCCATTATATTTTCTCGCCTTAACACATTACTCTATATGCAAACAGCAAGTTCCTTCTGAATGCTAAATACTGAGTTCACATAATGCATACAGAGGAAGAAGTCAATTGTTGTAGAATGATTTAAATGTTGTACTGCAGTGGAAGGGCTTAAGTCGAAACCAGATCTGATTGAGAATCACATCTCAGACATAAAATATTGACAGCGAGACAGTTGTTTGGGCTGCGGAGGGAATCTAGAAGAATTACTGGTAAGAATAAGACAGATGTGTGTGATGAAGTCTGCATCACTCAAGGGAGTCTGCGCTCTACTCAAGTGATGAAAGTTGTCGCGTTTACTATGCAGCGCTATCTGCAGATGTTGAGGTGCTAAGCTGTTGAGCAGCATCAGCGTTTCTAAACTGCAAGCATGATATCACCCCAGTGTTTCCCATTCATTAACTAGACTGTGGCGGCCCGCGAAGCCATAATAAAGCGAAGATATATTTATACTTATAACATAAAAGTTCTTTAACGTTGTGTTTCACGCCATTGCTTTGGCAAGTATCGGTCAAACGAATTAAAACCGAAAGCGTAATATGACTTATCAAGTCTGTGTGCTTGTTTCAAAGTGAAGCGCACACATTGCGCAGCGCACGCGATCGGCTCGTGATCCGGTGTTTTCCGCATCTCAGAGCAACTCCGTTCACAGTGAATGCAGTGAACTCCGTTATTGAATGTGCTGTGAGTTTAGCGCGTTTGGGAACGTTTATTATTATTATTATTGTTTTATTCTAATTTGCTTGGCTTCCAATTTCACCAGTGAGACTGATACACTATATCACAACTAAAAAGAGGGTTGAGTCTCCTTTAAATTTCAAGTATAAGTACATTCACCAGCTTTTTTCTTTTACTTTGCAAACTGAACCTGTGTTGGAGCTCTTAATTTTGAACTCTCAAAGTGCACCAGATTTATGAATTTAACTTTAAAATGTACAACATTTTCTTACGGGGGGCCATGCCCCCGGACCCCCCTAGAGGGATCGAGGACCACCCACCACAGTCTCACAAAATCCTGTGGGAAACACTGCACCCTATTTCCACTTTTCCTCTGGGACAAAGATCAATGTATGTGCTTTGCCCTTAATGAAGAATCAATGGACCCAGCACATTCAAAAGAGTGAGGTCATGGTCAAGAAGGGCACAGACCAGCGGACCAAAGGCCACAGGGGTCATGTGTACAAAATGAGCATCACATAAATAAAAATACCACAGTTACATTGAACAGTTATAATAATGTTTATTCTTTGATCAATAATTGCTCAACAAACCTTATGAATTGTTTCCAGCTCCTACAGTCTGACTATTCAGCACAATTGAAGTGTTAAATTGCATAATGTACATAAACCTGTGACCGTATATCAGTTCAATTCAAATACAGCTTAATTAGAAATGCAACTATATATTTGTCAGCATTATTTTCAAGTACATACATTATTCCTTTGTTCACTAACTGGCCACAGTTAATAAATTTTC